TGCTTATATACCATCTCCTTTTTGTCCGCCCGACTTCCAACGCCTTCTTGCTGACTTTGCCTCAATCGCTCATCGATTAGCTATAAATGTAGTTGCAGCGACTCATACATAATCAGAATAAGAACAACAAATGAATTCAATCCGTTTATAAGGTAACCTCTCTCATCTGGGAGACGGCATTGTCGTCACCGAGCCTTCTACCCTCTGGGACGAAGAATCTCTTCCAGATTCGTCTGGAAGGATAAGAAACTGACTTGTACATTAGCTGGCCCCCGCAAGTCATTGTATAGGCCACATCGCATTCAATAAGCCACTACGATTCTGAATGGAAGTAGAATGCGTGCCGCATCCCACAAAGGGATTGATCAACGGCGAAGACTTTATCCTTTGGCTTACCAACATAGTAATATTTGTTTTCGAGCTCCCGAGCAAAGGTTCAATGGTTTATTACATATTTATTGTGCCTGCATGATTGTGTGGGAACGTTGTGCTGCATAATAGTTATAAAAAGACTGCTGCGGTATTCAACTATACCGCTCCGAAGTCTTAAAATATCTTCATTTTTTTGCTGGGACCTTACCTACGAAGGTGAAGGGTTACTCAGTGCCCCGTTCGAATGTGACATTGATTTTTTCGTTTTTTTTTCTTCTTGTTCTTGAGGTCGGCACCACCGAGGCCACCATAACTCTTTCAATTTTCCACCAAATCCTATACAACCTTGCATACGGGGTTGTTTGACTCTTGACCACGAAAATGACCTTCTTTTTTGGCGCCGACGCTTATGCTGCACCCTCCATCTATTTGCGCTGTACCAAGACTGAACTCACATCTCCTCCTGCCAGTCTCAGCTTAGCAGAGCGTCAAATGGCAATGGCGCAGAGGAATGAGTGTGAGATTCCTGATCGGGAGCTCAGATGATTTTCAGACGCATGGTTGAAACGAACATGGAGGAAAAGCGGTGGCCAGGCTCGCGCTGGCAGCATTGCTGACGGTAAATTATACCCGAAATAAAAAAATGGGTGCTGTATCGGTAATCAGGATGCCGAATTGCAACAGTCTGCAAGTTTTCATCGATTTTTCATTAGAGCTGGTCGCGCTAGCGCCAGTGCCAAAAACCAGTGCCATATTCGTGATTATTGCACTGGTTAACACCTATGAACAAAATTTCAGCGGGGAAATTTGCTCAGAGATCTTGAGTTAGTAAAAGTTGAACGGTGTCAATATTTGACACGAATACGAATACGGTAGCTACGCAATTAACACGCCTTTGGAATCTGTAGCGGATTTCTAAGCACTACGCTTGATTGTTTCAGAAATCCGACGACCCTGTGCCGGAACCAATGGGGGTTATCTGCGCTGCTGCATACCTTATCGTCATGTTTGTCTTCATCCCATTCCCATTCATTGAGTGGATTGGAGCAGAGTGAGTTTCACTGCTTACCTCTTTGTGAAATATTGCCTGATTTTGCATTAGCAACCTGACGGAAGGAACCACCTGTAAATGGTAGTAGTTTTCGAATCCATGTCTATTTTTCCCCTTCTAACTGGCGAACCTCTTCGATTCCGCGGTCCTTCCTGCCTTGACGTACGCCTCAGAGACTTGGACTCTACGAAAGCAGGATGAGCATGCGGTCGGCGTTATTCAACGCGCCATCGAAAGGGCGATGCTCGGAGTTTCCCGCTACACGCAAGTGAGAGAGGGAATCCGGAGCTCCGCACTCCGCCAACGATCGAAGATCAGAGACGCCGCCGCATTTGCCAAGGTTTCGAAGATCAGGTGGGCCGGACACGTCATGCGTTTCGAGGACGACCGCTGGACCAGAGCGATCACCGACTGGATTCCACGGGATGTCAAGCGAACACCCGGACGATCGTACGCGATGGTCAGATTTCTTCGTGAAAGCTGAACGAATGGCATGAAGTTCATCGTGTCCCTCGAGCAGAGAGAACCCATTGGGCAACTCTTGCACGTTGCAGGGACGAATGGAGATGTTTGCGCCCGCTCGAGGAACTCGATGATCAACGGGAGCACATGTGATACAGGTGAACTGGAGAATAAAGTTAGCCCCATAGTTGTTACAAGTGAAATTCTGAAGTCATAAAGCCCCAAACATTAATCCAACCCGTATTGGGACGCAACACATGCTTGTTCTGAGATCAAACGGGCGAGAAGGTTGGAGTATTTATATCTACAAAATTTTGCACCCTTTGATTCATCTAGCCCTCCAACTATGGAAGGATTAGTCGACCCGGGAGGGAGCCAACCCGATACTGGATCCCAAAATCGTGTGCGTGGCAAGCGGTGCCCAATCTTCGAATTAGGCAGCGTTCAGACTTCGCGACGGCAGCGCTTCGATCGACGCGATCGATGCAGTCAGAAAGCATGCGCATCGATCGCGCCGAACGCGCTGCCGTCGCGAAGTCTGAGCGCTGCCTTACCTCCGCTTTGTTGAGAGTAGCAGTACAAAACGACCAATATTTCATAAACCGTACAAAACGATGGCGTGGGACTCACAAATTACCACATTTGAGGCTAAGCATTTTTCTGAACATTTTGAAAACCTGATGTTTCCAGAAGGGTTTCCACTATCTTGAGATTCCGCGCACTACAGTGCAGTCAGTATTGTTATTAATGCGAATCTGTAATTTGAAACGTTTCGCTGATGAAATAATTTTTATAATGAAACGCTTTCATTCAGGAATGCCTTCCCTCATACGAAATTCCTTGCATTTCTGTCTGCATTGATTTCTATATGTACCGCCATTCTGTTGGGATTCGCTGATGATGTACTAGACCTGAAATGGCGCCACAAATTGGCTTTTCCTACCCTTTCGTCCTTGCCTATTCTCATGGTCTACTATGTGTCAGGTGAAGCTTATTATTACTTCTAGCACCTTCCAGTCAGTTCGTTTCAGTTTTTGTCTTTGTTTTATGCATGCATGAGGTTAGCAAAAGTGTAGGCTTGAATCAGAATTAGAGAATCATCCATTTAGTCCCTCGTGACTTTCGATTGGTTGGTCTTATAGTTCGGGTGTCCCGAGTTCATTTGATGTTCAGGCGTCTTCTCAGAGGGAGGTTGTCCTAGCTGCAAACATGGAGAGGTACTACTCTCGCAGTTCAAAAATACGCGAAAAAGTGCCTTTTGTTTGCGAAGGGACCCACGCCCCATGGCCACGGCAAAGTCAACCTTTCATTGCAGAAGGGTTCCTCCTAGTGAGGTTGTCTCGCTGGTAGCATTTAATAGTTGAGTGGTGAGAGTGAGGTGATAAGGAAAAAGAGCCGGTCTCAACAGGTGACCACGCCCTTTCTTCTCTTCATGCACGTAGGAGCGCGGTTCAGCATCGGGATGTGTACGGTGCATTTCGGACGGGTTTTAGTGCCTTTCTTCAATTTTGTGATACTAACGATCTCGTCATAGTATCTGAGCACGGATCTGAGCACGGACGCACCACGGATTACACTTTCGAATGCAGGGCGTACTTTTGAATGAGTCTTTAATTTTAGTTATATATTCCGAAAATAGGCGTGCGAAGAATAATTCGGACCGCTCGACATTGCTTTTGCTTGTTACGCACGAATTGTTATATTGACAGAGCTGGTTGTAATATAGGAATCTCTCTACCACCTCCCTCCCCCACCTCGTCACTATAGCATTGAGCACTCATAGGCCAAAGGGGCAGTAAAGTGGTCGAAACCAATAATTTTCCCAGGGATGCGCCACGCTTTCTCTATTACCCCAAGAATGCAGGCTATTTCTTTCGGTCTCTACAATGGCTTAGAATGGGCAGTCTTTGAAAAACCACTGTGAAAGACACCATTTTCTTGCTTGTTGCATGACCTCATCATTTTATACCGTTGACCATCGCGTGTTCTGGCTCCCTGCTCTGCTTCGTGTTATAAGCCTTACTGCGGTAGCCTTACTACCATCATCCGGCACACCATACGCGATAAAGAGTTGATCCGAACACGTCTTTAATTTATTGCAAGGTCTCATAGCTGTAGTTGTCTAGTGATTTTTCGATCAAGTTGAACATTGCATTTGTTCAGGAAGTTCGACTACGGTGATAATACCTTCCGTTGTGCGTACACTGCTATCTTCCATTGTTCCTACGTCCATTTTCCCAACTATTCCTGCCTGTATTGACATAAATATCTTCTACTATGTGTTTATGTGCATGGTAGTGGTCTTCTGTACCAATGCCATCAATATTCTTGCTGGTAAGTTATTTCATGAAGGTTGTTACCTTGACTCATCAAAAGGGAACCGCTGCTGTTGCATGGTTGCTGAATGGTTTGAGGTTTATGGTGGCGGCGTCAGATTACGGGTCGTATCAGGAATTAAATGAGCAGATCAATTTCCACTAAACTGAGGACCGTAGGCTGCTTACAGTGCAGCAAGCGGTCACCATCAGACGAACAGTTCCGCTTGATTTCTTAGGGCAACCTTTTGGTTCCGAATTTGAAAAAAAATATCTTTTCGAGTTCGTTAAGCATTATATGTACCATTGTACTCGTGCTGTTCACAGAGTTGCTGGGCGGGCGCCAGTTGCACTTCATTCGTTCCTGCAACGTGAAGGAGTTGTCCAATGGGTTTTCTATGCTGGAGGACACTACGAACATCTTGACATTGAAAAGAATGCCGCGTTATGGGTAAAAGTCTGATTCCAGATCGCACTCGAACCCGCACCCCACGCTTTCCGGGTGGGTGCGCTATCCGTTACGCCGTCAGGCCTTTTTACTACGCCATCGGAGGTCTTTTATCTTGACGGTTTTTCATGCCGTAGCCTCACAGCATTCATTATGTTAGGGTTCGGGAATCACATTTGTTAATCAACTGCGCCATCGTATATTTTGCGATTAACAGATGAAAAAAAAATGATGAGGGAATACGTTGTATCGGCAGTCCAGTATCTACACGCATGTATCTCCTGAGTATTTTCAAGAAAATTGGAAAGTCTTTTAACACAGTCTTTCCGCAAAGAAAGGGTTTCACGGGTCAATTTCAGGGATAAATGGACTGGAAAGTGGGCAGGCAATCGTAATAGCTGTTAGTGTTGTGGCCTTCAACCTGGTGCAGGCACGTATTTGTCATTTTCCATGTTTGTGCTGCAATTCTAGTAAACAAGAAAGTATTTTCCAGATAAGCCGCTTGGATGAATGCTGGGACCATATGTTGTCGTTATATTTCCTTATACCTTTTCTCGCTTGTACACTGGCCCTTTTCCAGTTCAACAATGTAAGTACTTTGCTAATACATTTTCCCTTTGCATTCCTTCTTTTTCTTTCGTTGGAATTGCATTTATGAAGAGATCACGATTACATCATTCAGTATCCTGCACGTGTATTTGTTGGTGATACCTTCTGTTACTGGGCAGGAATGACACTTGCTGTTGTATCTATCCTGGGTCATTTCAGCAAAACGATGATCCTATTCCTAATTCCGCAGGTGACTTGAAAACGTTCTTCCACACACTGTGCTATAGAGGAAATTGTCTGTGTTTGAATCGCTGAGAACTGTGAATTTCACAGGTATTCAACTTTCTATACTCCATTCCACAATTATTCAAACTGGTACCGTGTCCAAGACATCGCCTGCCGAAATACGATGGGGCAACGGATACGGTAAGTTTAAGTCGGGCAGATATTGATTGAATTTATAGAAAACTTTAATGCTGCGCTTTCTTCACCTGCCAACTTTTTTTTTCTTTTGTGATATTTTAGCTCAAAGGCAATGGGCATGATTGCTGGAAGTGGGCAGCATCATTGGTGGAAGGGCTGCGAGAGGGCGTTTGGCCACACCCCACTTAGCCCATCCACTAATGACGTTGCGACAATCGCTCACCTCCAGCCATCGTGCCCACTGCCTTTAACATTCAATTTTCATTTGAATAAAAAGTCCGTGCTTTGACAAAAATGCGGAAATTTTTTACATCCTTGTTCTGCGAAGTACCTCCAAAAATTTGAGTGATCTGTGCGGTAGAACTCTTAGAACCCACCTAATTTATAAGACCTTTCTCCTGCAAAAAGATGCCTCTCTAGTCTGAGTCGGTCTCTAGAAGAAGATTCAGTTTCAAAATCGAAAAGAAGCTGAAAACGTTTCATCAATTTTGAAACTGATAATATCTATCTTAATGGTGTACGAAATATTTTCTCACGTTGGTTACTTGTGAACTGTCACCTACACTCTAGTTCGCTGCGGACGGTTGGGCGTGTCAGGCAGTATGAGTGTGTCACCCCGTCAAAGCCGTTCTCTGCCTTCTTGTTGAAGCGCGCATGCGACAAAAAGTGGTAGAAAACGAGTAATACGAACGATATGATACAGTCATATCATTTGCTCGCTTTAACAACTGGTGGAGAACGGGTTTGGCACCGCGCCAAACTCATCCCGCCTGACACGCCCAACCGTCCGCAGCGAACTACACTATATGTGTGTATGATATACGTTTCTTCACTTCATAAAATTCCTTATTTATTTTTATTAATTTTTATTGGTTAGTTTCAACCTAACCTTGGATTAGAAGTTGGAGATTTAATTTCCCGCCAACGTAATAGATTGAACTGCACCATTTTTTTGAAACAACCGTTCCTTTTTACAAGTACGCTAGTCTTTTTTTAGCTTCACTGGTATAGTTTCAATGTGCTTGATAACTGGGGAGATTTCGAGTTCTATTTCAAGTCGAAATCGTTCAGGTTGATATAAGCGTTGCTCAATTCAAAGAAAAAGACTTGAAGTTGCTGGGTAGGGTCACACTCAAAGTATTCTCTTCTTGTGGAATACTATACAGCAAGGAATTCGAGAGAGATAGTGAACGGTATGTTGTCTTCATTGATACCTTTACTGCTGAGAATAAGGCTCCTGAGTGGCATAACCGTACTTTGTTACGCTTTCCTGGAAATAAACGGTATATTTACCATTGGGGGCTCTGATCCTGCCATTGAAGTGATCGGGTCCACAGCTGCAGTAGCGTGCCACCTTTTCCCGGTCGAAGTGCACGGGAACGGGCCCTGAAAGGTAGTGATATCCGAGTGCTTTCGAACTCCGACCACGTTACAGCGCGGTTGGCCACACGCCTAACAGCCAAACGCGGTAATTATCTATGCCCTCTGACTTGTGGTTGGACTTTACGGGTGACAGCGTCTTCGCTACAGGATTCCGGTATAGGCTCAAGTTGCACCTGCACCTGGACGATAACGCTAGCAAAGTTGGGCTCAGGCACTCAGACATCACTGCCCTCCAGCCACGTTTTCGTGCCCTGTCAAGAAATTTTCACGCCAGGGCAGCTGCGGATCCATTCACTTCGCGATTGGCAAGGACCAGGGTCCGAGATGTACAATTTGTTTTGAAGTCAAAATTTGAAACAGATTCCCAAATTTTCAAGTGCCTTCAATCATGTAGACTTAAACAAGTAGGTGCAGAAAGTAAGGTGCATATAAGCTTCACTGTGAGAGATCGCGAAATTTTCTGCGACGTTGTGAACATAAACTCCCCACACTATCATGCTTTTTCTGTCAACTTCCTGATAAACAAGGAATGCATTGCAGATGGCAAGAAATCAACAATCTAACCATTTTGAATCTGGTACTGAAGTTTACTGGTCCACTCCACGAGCAGACTCTTACTAACGTTCTTCTTTCAATTCAAGTGATTTGTTCCGTTTTCGCATTTTTCGTTAGATTTTATCTTGCATCGTTTCTTTATGATGTCGTATATTGAAGACTTTATGCGGTAATGGAGGTAATAATCAACGGGAGATTTGTTATTGCAGCGATTTTTAATCGCTTTTGTATGCTCACGTAAAAACCACTTCTCTTTACACTTGCCAAGACTGTGATTTTTATTTTGTATATAATAACGAATTTAGCTTTACGTGCTTCAAATCGAATTTGTTCGAATCGATGTTTTGTTTATTTCAATAGTATTACTTATCTTAAATTATCTTTTTGACAATCTCCCTATAGCGAAATCATATGGCTGAGGAAAAGAAAAAACTGGCCTAAATCTTTTCATTGTCCACTACATATAAGGTTCAAGGATTTGGGTACACTAGGATAATTATCTCGCGTTAAATGTGTTGGTACGACTGAGGGAAGGCCTTGGTGAGCGCTAAAACTGTATGTTGCCTTGCAAATATCCTAGCATTTCACTACTCCTTATGGTAAGTGCGATGAACCCTCTGGCAGATTGCCTGGAAATGCGCGTTAACTCATTCAGCACTATGATTTGAGAGGCACCCTCTACATTGTTGGGGTATGCATGTGAGGCATGTGACAAGACAATCACGATTCGCCGCGCTAGTGAGCGCATGCGCGCGACGTCGTGTCCGCAAAGGCGATGCTTCTAGGTCTTGAATGGCGACAACAGGCAATGCATAGCCAAAAATCGCCATAAATGTTCACGATTCCGTAGTTTGCACGGAATTTGTTGCTCCATCGACAAGTTCATACATATTGAGGGAACACCGCGCCCATCGCCGTGCGCGACAAAGCGGCAAGTTACGATTGTCTTGACCCATGATAAGCGCGAAAGAATGTATCCATTATCAAGTCACTTCTTGTAATCGATAATGTTCAGAGCAAGACAAAAATCTTCCAATTTTTTGGAAAATTAGTGGTAACGCGGGGCTGTAAGCTTTATAGCTTTTTGAGGCTGTGGCTCGTAATATGTACTTGAACTGATTATCTTATTTAAGTGTTATGAATGCAGGACCCTTTTTCACAGTACTGTATCGTTTTCGAATACATGTTTGATCACTGGCTTCAGTCAGTATATTGTGACCAGCTTGCTGCCTATCATATACGGTGACCTTTATATTCTAGTCTCTCCTTTGTTGTTATCATTGATCAAATTGTTGAATATTGAATTTAATAAGTTCAGGGTTCCGTTACTTTTTGGGAAATAAAGGTTTCATTTTAAAAGGTCTATTTCGTTTGATACTAGGTTTGACCGCTCATGCGCTTAGATCTTAGGTCAAAAACTGCGAAAACTTTACGCAGAGTGAATTAAACAGAACAAACAATAAAACGGTTATGCTGTTTCCTCAAAAGAAAAATACCGCCGAATTCTTATCTCCGCACTGTTTGATCACTTGGTCTTCCATTATCAAGTTTTGATCTCAGTTTTTCGGCTATGGGTTTATTACATGTTTGCTATAATAATCTAATAGATGTAGGAGTGGCGGTCATGATGGGCTTTCTGAAAATCCACGACTACGCGCGCATCCTTCAGTTTTTTGGAAGTTTTTGGACATTTACTACATTCGCCGGAAACCGCATGAGAAGCTCGAAAAAGGTCCTTCTTTTCGTTAACTTCACCACTCGGTGGCTTAACAACAGTGGGTAAGCAAACAACGACGGTAAAAAAGTTATAGAAATTCTAAATCTGGACAAATTCCTAAGAAGTGGGCGGGGTCCTGTATGTCGGCGTGTCGAGCTTTTCAGTTGAAGTATATGTCCGAAGTAGCAGAAGTACAAAAAAGTCCTTTAAGCATAAGCAGTTATAACAGAACATTTGAAAAATTATGACCGCACTAAAGGTGGGCGTGGCTGTTGGGGCGTAGCTAGAGCTAATGCCGTTTGGACTCCAAAAATTTCGGCTGCGAGCTCATTTTAAAAGTGGCCCAAACCAGCTAAAAACTTGTATATACAGTGCGTAACAAAAGTATGTGGACACCCCAAATTTTGATTTTGCGAAACTGCCTTTGGATATTGCGATCTGAGACCATCACTGTTAAATTCCTCATAAGCGAAAGTATAGGAATGCACTACCTACGAGCACATTGTGAACTACTGAGCAATGATTTATTGTTTTGAAAAAATTTCTTAATAACAAAAGTATGTGGACACTTAACAAAAAACAAAAGTATCATGGAAATTAAAACTTGGTGCTCCCTCCCGCGTTCACTATTACTTCGAACATTCTGTCTGGCATGCTGTGGACAAGATTTGTGATAGTGTCTTCGTCGATTTCCTCCCATGCAGCCACTACCGCCTCCTTGAGGTCTCGCACGCTGTTGTACTGCCGATTGTTCATGTAAATTCGTCGAACCATGATTCCCCACAGGTTTTCGATTGGGTTGCAGTCAGGAGAACACGCCGGCCAATCAATCACTTTGATACCATTGCGTTGGAGCCATTTTCTAGTAGAATTTGAAACATGCACGGCGGCGTTGTCCTGCTGCAGCACATGTGTCCTGGGTCGTGGCCCACTCAGAAAAGGCAAGAGGTTGGATTCGAGCACTCCTTGATATTCCTGACTGTTCATACGGCACGATGGGAAGGCGAGCTCTAACTTTCCGCTGGTTCCAAAACCACCCCACACCATCAAAGAGCCGCCTCCGAAATTTCGCCTCGAGAACAGCAATGGATCGCGACGAAGGTCTCTCCAGTAGTGCCGATATCCATCTGGACCGTCGAGATCGGACTTTTTTTCATCGGTGAAGATAACCTAAGAAAGAAAAGCGCATGGGATGTTGCCTTTCTGATTTTACAAATTTCTCAAAAAACTTCACCTTGTCCCACGACGTCGCCATGTTTGCACGCGCGAAGTTCAGTCTCGCCAGCTGGTGTTGGGCAGTCAGGCGAGGAGCTTTCTTCATGGTCTCTCGTGTGATATGCTCATTTGATCGAATATAGCGCCATATCGTCATTTTTGAGACCGGTAGATTAATTGCAGCATGGATCTGTCTCACAGAAAGGGGGGAGTTTGAGGCGACCCGCGCTGATGTCTTTTGGGAGCAAAGATCGAGGACGCCCCGAAATATGCTGAATGGTAGCCATCAGGATTCTGGAGGTATTTACCAACGCACGTCGCCGAACGTCCGAGCTGTCTTGCAATTTCTCTATTTGAGTGTCCAGCAGCACTGAGAGCTCGAATCTGAGATTGTTCGTCTTCGGAGAGAGTACTGCCACGACGAGGCATGAGTACAGATTAATGGGGAGCAGAGACGATAGATATGGGTTGCAGATTTGGAGTCAAACTTTGAACTTTCTCAGGTGTCCACATACTTTTGTTATTAAGAAATTTTTTCAAAACAATAAATAATTGTACAGTAGTTCACAATGTATTCAGAAGTAGTGCATTCCTATACTTTCGCTTATGAGGAATCTAACAGTGATGGTCTCAGATCGCAAAATCCAAAGGCAACTTCGCAAAATCAAAATTTGAGGTGTCCACATACTTTTGTTACGCACTGTAGGGATAAATCAACCCTGATCACGAATATGACATTCATTTTTGGCGCTGGCGCTAATGGATGACACTACGGTTACCTGCGCTCTGCTAAGGCTGAGCCCAGGAGGTAGTGTCCTCTCTTGGCGCCAGCGCCAAGAATGAGTGTCATACTCGTAATCAGGATGTTGAATTACCCCTATATACAAGTTTTTAGTGGATTTGGTGACTTAGGCAATTTGAAAATGAGCTCGAAGCCGAAATTTCTGGAGTCCAAACGGCATTAGCCCGTAGTTAGCGGTAGTTTCCAGTTGATCTATTAGATGACTGTCACGTGTTAATTGCGTGGTGAATACTGTTTGAAAATGGTGAATTTGATTCGATAGATGGCGGATTTGAAATGGTACATAGAGGGCTCTCTATGGGATAGTGTACCTTACTCTAACCATAAGGGGTAGGATAAGAATGGTACGATCGCACCTCGTTAACGACTTCTCGCACTTGGATTCAAGGCATAA